CATTAGTTGGAGCAAAATTACCAAAACAATCTGCAGGGATTGTTAAGGATGATTGGAAATAGCTTTTATGATACAAAGCCATGAAATTATTTCATATTTTTTCTCAGATACCTTGCTCTAACGTCACCTTCTAACCACCTTTTGTTATGTGCTCTATTTACCAGGAAACAAAGAGCCAACTATCTTTTACTAAGGACGTCCATGCACAGCTAAACTTTTTGGAATAGACAAAATATAGTAGATTAAATCTGATTTTCATGAAATTGTACATATGCATCTATCTGGGTAATGAGTAAGGAAAAATTTGCCTCTCATTTGTGACATTAATTTTATATAATTTTATTCCTCATTAACCAAATCAATAGACTGGAACTGAATTCTAAAAGCAGTATGATTGCCCTCTGGTGGTCAAATTACTAGTCATAATTTTTCATGCAATTTTTCATACCTGTTGAGTATGGGGGAAAGTTTGATTTAAATTTCAAAGCTATTTACTTTAATTCACATCCTATTACGACCAAATGCTAATCGAAGAGGCCATAGTTGCTTGTTTTCTACTATCAAATGATCACTACAATTTTAACAATTATCTTTTTCCTTAAAAAATACTCATTAATTAAACAACTATTCATATATATAACAAATATATGATATAACAAAGTTTATCATATAAACTTTAGTTACTAAGATGCATTGTAATGAAAAAGCAACACCAAACCAAAGTCTGTATTTTAGATTTAATTGATAATGGGGTAGAGGGAAACTCTGGAAGAATAAATAGGAATCTCTGTTAGTTGAAATGTATGGAGTTTTCTCTCTCTTACCCTAAGGGATAAATGGGCTCCAAACCAGTATGGCATTAGTATACAACACAGCTATCTAGCGGGATAGTTTGGACATTCTGAACCTTTTAAAATGTCCTCATTTTTCAATCACTAGGCTGATTAGCTGAGTGCTTTTTACTGGTTGGTTGGTTTGTTTTATTCTTTTGAGGTTAGTCTTGGACATGGTCATATGTAGTCTGGCTGAGATTTTATTTTTATTTCTCATAGACTCATAGACTTTAAGGTCAGAAGGGACCATTATGATCATCTAGTCTGACCCCCTGCACAGCGCAGGCCACAGAATCTCGCCCACCCCTCTTAGAATAATCCTCTCACCTATGTCTCAGATATTGAAGCCTTCCAATACTTTGAAGGCCCCAACATGCAGAGAGTCCTTCAGCTGTGATCTGTGCCCAATGCTACAGAGGAAGGCGAAAAACCTCCAGGGCCTCTGCCAATCTACCCTGGAGGAAAATTCCTTCCTGACCCCAAATATGGCGATCAGCTAAACCCTGAGCATGTGGGCAAGACTCACCAGCCAGACACCCAGAAAGTTCCCTATAGCAACTCCTATCATCCCTCCATTGACCTATTTCCAACTGGAAATGAATGGTCAATTAGTTACCAAGATCATGTTATTTCATCCAACCATCCCCTTATCATAGAATCAGAACTGGAAGAGACCTCAGAAGGTCGTCAAGTCCAGCCCTCCGCTCTAGGCAGGACCAATCCCATCTAAATCAACCCGGCCAGGGCTTTGTCAAGCCGAGACTTAAACACCTCTAGGGATGGAGACTCCACTACTTCCCTAGGTAACCCATTCCAATGCTTCACTACCCTCCTAGTAAAATAGTTTTTCCTAATATCCAATCTGGACCTCTCCCACCACAACTTGAGACCATTGCTCCTTGTTCTGCCATCTGTCACTACTGAGAACAGCCTCTCTCCATCCTCTTTGGAACCTCCCTTCAGGAAGTTGAAGGCTGCTATCAAGTCCCCCCTCACTCTTCGCTTCTGCAGACTAAACAGACCCAAGTCCCTCAGCCTCTCCTCGTAGGTCATATGCTCCAGACCCCTAATCATTTTGGTTGCCCTCCGCTGGACCCTCTCCAATGCGTCCGCATCCTTTTTGTAGTGGGGGGCCCAGAACTGGACACAGTACTCCAGATGTGGCCTCACCAAAGCCGAATAAAGGGGAATAATGACATCTCTGGATCTGCTGGCAATGCTCCTCTTAATGCATCCTAATATGCCATTAGCTTTCTTGGCTACAAGGGCACACTGTTGACTCATATCTAGCTTCTCATCCACTGTAACCCCCAGGTCCTTTTCTGCAGAACTACTACTTAACTGGTTGGTCCCCAGCCTGTAACTATGCTTGGGATTCTTCCGTCCCAAGTGCAGGACTCTACACTTGTCTTTGTTGAATCTCATGAGATTTCTAGTGGCCCAATCCTCCAATTTGTCTAAGTCACTCTGGACCCTATCTCTGCCCTTAAGCGTATCTACCTCTCCCCCTAGCTTAGTGTCATCTGCAAACTTGCTGAGGGTGCAATCTATCCCCTCATCCAGGTCATTAATAAAGATATTGAACAAAACCGGTCCTAGAACCGAACCTTGGGGCACTCCACTAGAAACCGACCGCCATCCTGACATCGAGCCATTAATCACTACCCGCTGGGCCCGGCCTTCTAGCCATCTTTCTATCCATCTTACCGTCCATTTATCCAATCCGCATTCCCTTAACTTGCTGGCAAGAATATTGTGGGAGACCGTATCAAAAGCCTTGCTAAAGTCAAGGTATAATTTCAATTCTCTTGTAATGATAGAAGCAGAGTAAGACTAATTTAAAGTGGAAAAGAAAATTATTATTTCAGTTTAGCATTAACTGGGCAGAGGACAACTGTTTCCAATACTAAAAGAAGTGTAATCCTCCTGTCCCTCCAATGTGTGTTCCAAGCATGTGTTTACTGAGGCATATACAGGTCAGATTCAGTAATGTTTTTACTGTAAACAGAGAGAAGGATTTTAACTAGAACCTGTCTATTCCTGCTACTGCTGATCCCATAGCTGAATTTATTATGTCCTTTTTTATGGCACATTGTCACTCCTGTTGCTATATATGTGCAGAGCACTGGTCATAGGACTTGGTAATGCTTTGTTGTGAGTTTGTGTACACAGAATATTGTAATGCTGCGTGAATCTATGTTGCTTTTCCCTCCCTTGTTATCTCTCTGCGAGCCAAAATTTCAAAAAATAGCTGCCCATGATCTGTTGTTTGCACATGACATTTTGAAAATTCAAGCTGATCTATCAAAAGTTTATGGGTCCTCCCAGTATCACAAAAGGCTAAACTGAACTGGCTTGAACACTGTGTGGAACAAACTGGTTAAAACTCTCTCAAAATGTTTTTCATCACTTTTACTCAGGGCTAATATGATCACATTAAGCTACTACAAAGTTGTCAGCATGCTTTATCTGGCCATTATAGACAAAACCTGAAGTATGTGTGGGGCTTGGAGCACAAACAGAGATTGCAAACTTTTATCTTTCATATACTTGCAGCTAAGAGTTAAAGCCAAACCCAAAGGGATTTCCAGAAGTCTGCAACATTGTTTGATTTTAAAAGTATGTGAAATGTTTGAGCTAAATGCCTGACAATGTTTCTTTGAGGATTTTTTTTATTTCTGAAGGAGTAAGGGAACAGATTAATGTTGTGGCCCTAAACTCCAAACTAGCTTTCCCCACTTTGCTTTTGTTTTTTGTTTGTTAGAGAAGAAGGCAGCAATCTGTTAAGAGGATGAGCCCCATCACTTGAGCTCACAATGGGGACCCCCCATCGAAGAAGGTCTATTTCTGTCTATTTCTCTGTTTTTCTGTAGTGAACGGGATACAAGCAAAAGGAGAGGAACTTAGGACATGAATAGGATCACTCACCACCCCATCTTTCTGTCCATGTCATATGGACCCTCCCATTGCTTTCAACTAAGCTGATGCTAAAGAGCTGTAAATAGATCCAGAGTGACAAAACAGAACCCATCCTTATGCAAATAAACATGTCCCATTTAAAGTGTCCTGGTCTAGAAAATGAACTGTTACTGTGAATTCTACACAGGGTAATTTGGACTGAGGAGAAATGAAGTGCCTTTACAAAGCAAAATTTATGTCAGGGGACCTGACTCTGGTAGGACCTGGTAATGCCCTCATGGTGTTTTAAAGCATTATGTTTCTGTGGGGACAGAATTAACCACATTGCTAAACTGTGGTTAGTTAGTTAATGCCTATTATGCCCACTGGCACGTAGGGCAGCAATGAAGGTTCTCCATTTTTGTTTGTCTTTGGCCATTTTCTCCAGTGTGTCCCAGTTGTAGTTCACTCTCTTCATATCTGCCCCAGAGAGGACTTAGGAAGGCCATTGTACAAAGTTGTAGGAGATTTTGAGCCAGAAAGTTACAGCGCTGTAAAGTGCCAGTGTAGACAGCCTTGATCACAAGCCCTACCCTAACTTAAGCCTATAAGCTGGTCCTGAACCCTGATGATTTGGCCTAAAATTCAATCCCTTCCCCAGCCCATGAGTTTGTCCTAGTTTGAGGCACTCGAGCTACCCAGCAGATTGGGCTTTTGGGATGTGAGAAAGAGCTTTGTGACAGGCTGGACAGTCAAACAGACTTGGAGAGAAGTGGTGAGTGTTTCAGATTGTATAACCTGGGGCGCATTGCCCCTCATTTCCTTCCCACCTTCTCCTTGTGCCACGCCGACATTTCAGATGCATCAGGGTTAGGAGGGTTTCTAACCATCCCTTTAAAAAAAAAGCCTCAATTTGCATTATAGGCTTTAAAGATTCAGGTCAAATCTGAATTTTTCACCCTGTGCTTTGAGCATCCCTAGTTCTAATAGCCTGGAAGCCACAACTGCCAAATGTTAGAAACTAGATTCCTGGGATACCTGTTGTGTTTGTCAGTTTCCTCAGCTGAGTTATAGATTTGATTGGGTTATAGGGTTGCTTCGAGTGGCTGCAGAGAATCCTGCTGTGAGCGACCATGCGGGCCACGGAGAGGAGTGCAGCGTAGCCTGCCAGCCGGTTCGGAGAACTGCACTTTACTGTGGTGCCTGAAGAGGGGTTTGCTCAGCTCCGGAGAGCCTCTGGCTAGGAGAGAGGCTGCCTAGGGCCTGCCTGCTCACTCTCCTCGCTCAACTTCCTGTGATGTCAGGCTGGAGGAAGTAGCAGTGTGGGGACAAGTCTCTCGGAGTGTAGGAGTAGAGAGAGAGAGTCTCACCGAGGTGAGTAAGCGGTTTCTGACCGTCGGTAGGAAATCTGCTCAGGAAGCAGCACAGCCTCTTTTGCTCCCCCTTCCCCTGCTTCTTGCAAAATATCAAAATTCTGTCAAGAAACATGAGGCAGACAACCAGAATTTCCAAGTTCCGTGCATACTTGGATAATACCGGGCTCCTGCTCTGGCTAATCAAAACCACGTACTTGACTCAGAGGACTCTGCTAGTGCTTTGTCATAGGAGCAGCATGTTCTTGTATCTGTGCATTTATCAGCCCTCCCGGGAATGGGAGACACTGGTTTTCAAATGCCTATGGCAACCTGGGCTACAGGCCATTCTGAGCCTGCTGTGGTAGAGGGGACACACACACCCAGCTGACTTCCTCCTAAACAGACAGAGTCCGATGCATTGTGCACTGGGGTGGGAAGGCATAGCTGCTATGTTGGATGTCATTCATCCCCAGGCACTAGATGGAAATTTCTAACCATCCCTTTAAAAAAAATAAAAGCCTCAATTTGCATTATAGGCTTTAAAGATTCAGGTCAAATCTGAATTTTTCACCCTGTGCTTTGAGCATCCCTAGTTCTAATAGCCTGGAAGCCACAACTGCCAAATGTTAGAAACTAGATTCCTGGGATACCTGTTGTGTTTGTCAGTTTCCTCAGCTGAGTTATAGATTTGATTGGTCATACCAATTTTTAATTCTTACCACCAGAAACATATACAGATTGAACCTCGCTAATCCAGCACTATCTGTGGTCCAGCATGATTTTAGCTAGCAGGATGTTCACTTATCACGGGTGTGGCCAAATTTCCCCACAGTCAAATAAAGTTCGTTTACAGGCTCTCAGTGTTCTATGCTATTATTTAGTTCTAATTTACCCCAAATGTCTTCTAAGAGCCCAGTAAGCAGTGGAAGTGTTGGTAATGCTGCTAGACAAAACTGACCTCCAGTGGTCCAGCAAATTTTCTGCTTTGGCACTCGTCAGGTTCCAAAGATGCTGGGTTAGAGAGGTTCAACCTGTATTTGTTAAATCTCAACTAAAAATATTCTTCTGTGTAGCACTCTCCTGGGTGTTTTTTCTAAGGTTCTGCTTCTTAGAGATTTGCTGTTACAAGGGTAAAAACCTTATTTTAGAACCTTGTTTAACTCATAAGACAGCTGACTTAACTGCAGTTTCTAAAACTATGTTCATATGACACTCTCAGTAATTTTTACAGTTTTTTTGAAGGTTTTTGAAATACTTTTTCATGGCTACAGAATTCCCAGAAGAAGGTATCTTTTTCATTTTCTGAAGGTGGAATTTTTACTGTGTCCGTATTACCGTTATTAATAGATAAACAAGCGATATAGACACATTTATGTCTTCCCACTCCCCAAGAGGCTAGATCATGGCATACGCTGCTACCTTTGGTATGGTGTAAAGTGCAGCTGCATCACCCCAGGGTGTGTGCGAGGAAGAATGTGGCATGGTGTTTCTGTCTTCTCTGTGTGCACCTTCCTTAGGATGGAGCAGATTGTACATACCTGTTTCACTGGCCCTGCTCTGCAGGCTAGCAAGGAAAGTGAGTTGCACCATCCATGACCCCCACCTGCTCCCACCAACCCCTTGTCTTCTGTCTTTGCTCCCAGGTAGGCAGCAGAAATGGGTGGTTCCTACACTTGCTAGAGGCCTCTTGTAGGATATCCTTGTGCAGTCATGCAAAGAGTGGGGGAGGTTTGCTGTATGTCCATCATTGCCTGCGCTCATAGTATGGCCCAAGATGTTTAACTGGTTCTCCCTGAGCCTCTCTTGCCTCCTGAATCAATGCGAAGTGGCTAATAATGCGCAGCAGGGAACTACGTATCCTTTCTCTTATGTGTTATAGGTGTAACAAGGTGGGTATACCGTGTAACCCTAAGGATGGTACGGATTTTGGCCAATGGAGATATTGTACAGGATGATGACCCCCGGGTGAGAGCAAATGCTCAGCATCGGGAGAACATCTCCAGGCAGGTAAGGAAAGAGAAAACCGTAAGACATGTGGTGTATTTTTGTAATTGCTTAGATTTTTTTGCTGAAGTAAAGGGACGTGCATCTTGATTTCCATCTTCAGTAGATGCTTCATAATTAAAATTCCCATTAAACTGTGTGCGTGTGCAGCTGCACAGCAATCTGGTAGCTGAAGCACATCTCACGGGGCTGGAAGTGTGGCTCACAGCTGGGCCCTCCTGCCAGAACCCGCAGCAGCTTCTCTTTTGTGCTATCGAAAACGTCAATCCACAGGGCAAGGTAAGGAGAGAGAGGAGCCAGGTTGCCATTTAGGTAGGGCATGGGGATGGCTGTTTATGGCCCTGGCGTGGGACACATGGAGCAGCCAATGGAGAGAGTGGTCCTGCTACTGGGAGCAGCCTCCAAGGATTACTAGTGCAGAAATGAGCCTGTAGGAACCTGACCTGGCAGGAAGCTGTGGCATGGGGGGAGGGATAAACTCTGCTGCCACCACTGCTGGTGCAGGAGTGCTGGGTTAGTAAATGGCAACTCCTTCCCAGGCACCCCAGTGTGGGAGGCAGGAGCTCTTGGGAGGGTATGGCAGGGAGCTCCTTCCAGGCCTGAGACTCCTGGGAAGGGGTGACAGGTTCCAGAAAACATGCGTGGTGGGTGAAGCTGCTGCTTAAGAAGGTAAGCTCCCCAGCCTGTGGCCCTGCCCATATTCCCCTCCCACTTTGCCCAAGCCCTGCCCCTTCCTACTGTCTCTCTCTTTTGTTCCCCGTCTTTCTGCTTACCCCTTCCAGCCAAATCCCTAAACACAAATGTAGCAAATCACACTTGAAAACAACACTCTTCTTTCCAAAGAAGATAGAGCATGTTTCCACTGCTTGACCGATTGTGAAGACTGGCCATGCAGAAGGTGCCTATAGAAAAGCACTACATTTAGGAATAAAAACATGTCAGTCACAGGTTTTTGGATATACTCTGAAGTTGGTTAGAGATTTATTTGCAAAAGCTTTGTAGTAAGGGCAAGTCAGCTGAAAACAACACTCTTCTTTCCAAAGAAGATAGAGCATGTTTCCACTGCTTGACCGATTGTGAAGACTGGCCATGCAGAAGGTGCCTATAGAAAAGCACTACATTTAGGAATAAAAACATGTCAGTCACAGGTTTTTGGATATACTCTGAAGTTGGTTAGAGATTTATTTGCAAAAGCTTTGTAGTAAGGGCAAGTCAGCTGTCGCATTAAATATTATGGAATAAGTGATGCATCCCTTCTCTGTTTTACATTTTCTTCATCAGCATTTCTAAGCTGATTTTATATTTTAAATGTAGCTTTAAGCCTTTAAAAAGTAATAATTCCCGATTAATGCATATGTAACACATTGAAACAAAGACACTATTTTAAGTTAATCAGAGCAGTTTAGTGTATTCGTAGAAAAGTTCATTGCATTTAGAAAAAGGGAATACACAATTTATTTTGTGTGATCTCCATAACAATAGACATATTTATGAAATGTCACAATATGTGATTGTGTTAAAATATGTATATTTTATATCTGACTAAAGTGCAGGTTTTGGTGGAGGGTTCTCTTTAAACCTAGTTAATCAAATAATCAGAACTAAAGAAAGGGCAACTCATTTGTCCAGCAATCTGGAAGAAAAGGGGTATTGTCCCTTTAAGGGTTCTCA